CAGGGACGGCTCTCTGTGGTTGCTGTTGTAGGTAAGATAGATAACAGGGTTCTCAGGCCAGACAGGCTTCGACTCACAGTGATCCTTTCCATTCCTGACTGCTGAGATCTCGGGTATGAGCCGCTGCAAGGCCAATTACTTTTGAGTGTTTTAACCCCCAGGGTCTAATTTGAGTCATAGGGAGGCCTGGTATGTCTACAGATGAAAAGGGTGCTGCACTGATTTGCACCGAGCTTGGAGCCCAGTACCGTGTCCAATGTCCAGTGTTCTCAATACCTTCTGTTTCCATTCCCACCTTCCGCCCTCCCCAGCCCCCATGCGTTCCCCAGGCAGCTCTTGGGTGCACCAAGGCTGGTTCTGCAGGGTTCCTTCTGTACTGAAATCCTTGTTTTAAGTAATTTATTTTCCATTAGTTACCAAAATCTGATTGGGGATGGAGAGACAACTCAGCAGTTTGTAGCACTGGCTGCCTTTGCAGAGAACCCAAAGTTTTAAATTATTTGCTTATTTCTTTTCCCTTTGGGAACAGGATCTCATTGTGTAGGCTGGCTAGCTTGGAACTCTGTGTAGAGCACACTGGCCTTGAATTCACAGATTTTCTAACTGCTTCTGCTTCCTGAGTGTAACCTGCTTCTGGCTCCCAAGTGTCCAGGAGCATGGATGTCTGTCACCACATGCAGATTTTTTAGCCTAGTTTGTTAAAGACGACCTCATGTAGCTCTAGGTCACCCAAGGTGTGCTGCTGCCCACTGGACCATGACAGCAGAAAGTGTGTACGTAGCCCCCGGTCTGTCCCAGAGTTCTTCATGAGCAGGAATTGGGCTTGTGGTTCAAATCTATTCATGCTGAGTTTACTGCTTAACTTCGACTGTTGTCTGTGGAGATCCCCCCATTACAGAAGTTCATGAAAGCTGAGAGCTAGAGGGGAGACTAGGAGCCCCCCCCCGCCGCCAGCATAATCCAGTCTTCACACTTTGTGGGGAGGAATTAGAGTCTAGGGCTGAGATCTAAGAGGGAGGGGCGATGGCACCCTCTTCAGGTCACCCCGGAAGGAAGGGGCTCTCACCCCGTCTAGAGCACACCTTTGAGAAGAGATTATGTTAGCTGGGCAAGGCTGCATTCAGCTTCAACCCCAGCCCTGGGGAGGAGGAGGCAGGTGGCGAATCTCTGAGTTCCAGGCCAACCTAGTCTGTGGAGAGAGTTCCAGGACAGCCAGAGGTACAGAGAGAAACCCTGTCTTCAAACAATCACACAAACAAACGCAGGGCGAGTGTGGATTATATTGACCATTACAGAAGGCTAGAGTGTGCTGGCCGCTGGCGCGCTCCCTGGCAGTCACTTTAAACCTTGTGTTTGTAGACAGACACTAGGACAGTGAAATTTAACTTGTGGACCTCTTGTTTATTCTTGATTTCTCCGCTTTTCCAGGAAACCTAAATGTTTTCCGTGACGATGGAGTGTTTTGGGTGACCTTCTCTTGCATAGCTCTGCTCATCCCAGTTATCTTCCTGGGCTGCCTGAGAATAGTAAGTGCTTCCCTGCGGCTGGGTTACTCATCAACCTGCCCTCCAGCCTCTGGGGAGCCGCTCCTCGAATCACTAGGGAGGGCTCTGGCTGTCTGGGCTGTTCTGTGATCGTCACATGTGTTTATTCTTGTTTTTCTTCAGAGTTGTTACCATAGAGGTCTTCAGTCAGGTTTGCTTAGTCCACCAATCAAAGAATTAAAAGGCAGGAGAGAAGACACACTCTTAGCTAGTTTTATTGAAAGTGGAAGTGCGTGCACACACAACCCACAGACACACAGACGCCAC